CTTATCGACTAAGCCGTTCGTAGGTTACACGACATATCCCATCGACAAGCGACTGACTCGCCGTTTCGCTCGTGTCAATGTACAATACGCACATGAGATATATACAAATGTACAAGATTTTTTTTATTGTTTATCATACAATTTTTAAGGTTACTTTAATATTATATAATTCTCAGAATTACTTTGATCCAGATTAATAGCAATTGAACACATTAATAGCCTTAAACAACTATTTTATGCTAATTCTAATATATGGGTTTCACGCTATTATATATTAATAATCGACTAATCTGATATTTTTTTTTTAAAAAAAAAGATAGTCGAAAACTTTTTTTTATCAGAGTTGTGCTGGTTGGCTAAAATTTAATATTCGTATTTCACACTACGAACCTTCAGTAAAATTGCCGTAAAAAGTACTTAATTAATCATGCGCTTGTGCACAATTTTGATTAATAGGTCTGGATTTCATAGCTTATTGGTTAGTTTCCAGACCTTTACAAACAAGGCCAATGGTTCGAGTTAACTAGAGGTATTCTAAAAATGCTTTTGTAATCTAAAAAATGATGATCATAATCGAATGCAGAACTCTGTGAAAAGTTTGTACAAGTATAAATTTGAGGAATTCTTGAAAGTATATCTAATTATAGAAAAAAAGGTATTATATATAACAGTAGAGTTACAGAAAGTTCTGACAAATGTGACATGCACATGTAAATCCTCAGAAAAAAAAGCTAATATTAACATTCTGTAATCTCCGATTAGGTCGCACTAACATCTATACACTCAATTTATAAGATATTTTATTGAAAACATAAGAATAGTTTGTGCGAAGAATTGGTCTTACCATTTCTGACAATATGTGAAGATTCTACTTGTTATGTAAAGTAAACATACATGCAGGAGATGAGTTATGAAATAAAACCCATACCTCATCAACATATTGAAGTCTTTGTTAATATATAATGTATAACATAAAGGTTAATATTAAACATATAAGTACAAGAAATGGCAGATCTAAAAATTGATTGAGTTAAAGACTATAAGCTGATAGAACAAACCTGTTGTATAGGTAATGACCAGACCTTATAGAAGTATAGGATGCAAACTAACTGACATCATACAAGCAATGTAAATGATACATAGAATGCATAATAGGAAAAATAGGTTGAGGCATAAAAATCCTGATCTATATAATTGTAAAGTTAATAGTCTAAGTTAAGTATACTTCAAGAATAAAATAGTCCTAAGTTACATATAGATATTAATGATTTGTATAACATGTTAATAGGAATTTATGTACATATATATAATAACTGTCAGCTGATTATGAAATCGGATTATTGTGAAATTTAGATTTATTTCATGTACGATTTTTAATTTTTTATACGCCGTTTTTGTGGGCTTTTTTTTATAGTTGAGTTAGAATTTAGGGTTAGAGTTTTAAATAAAAGAGTATAGGTGGATTTTGGTAGGGCCTATATTTTCAAATTGAGACCCCAAATTTCACAATAATCCGATTTCATAATCAGCCGCGACAAAATATATGACCAAGAGGTCGCTCATAAAAAAATAAAAAGCATCTCAATCAATAACCTTTTGTATCGTTCTAACCCCTGCAAAAACATTTTTCATTGCCGTATTCTATCGTAAATAAGCATTGTCTTTTAAACCTTATTTTTTTAAATGTAGATTAGCGGAATAACTTTACTAAATATAAATATCTCATTGTGATTTCTGTTATCTGACATTTAAAAACGAGGTAGAAAGGATATTGCTTATTTCGATAGAATACGGTACTACCTAATAACAAGTATAAGAAGTAACACGATATACCAATATTTGTTTTTCAGGTGTGCAGATCCAATCAAATTGCCTGAAATTTTGGATTCAAGCAATTTGATTGGATCGCAAAAATAAACATTGGATATACTTAAGTGTGGAGATAACGGTAAATAGTAACAAAAATTATTGTGATTTTACTTTTTCATAAAATGATTTAAATTATTCTATTTACGTAACAATGATTAAAAAGATGCTACACAATTTTTACATAAATCAAGTTAAGCGTGAGTTTATTCTTTCAGACACAAATCCTAACCATAATTGTCGAGTAAATGAGCGTTACTGGTTAACGGTTGGATATTAGAGTTTGGTTTTGCGCTTGAGAGATAAAGAGTCTCATTCAGTTCACTCATAAAATTTATCATCAGAATTATGAAGCTAAACATTAATGTATCAAATTTGCTAGCATTTATTATGAATAATCCACAATACACTTGGAACCAAAATACAAATATTAAAAAACCTGCGCTTAAAGAATTTTTATATAATGCTTGCATTTAAGAAGCATGCGTTAGAGAGTTAATTATAATTGCTGGAATTTTTTACATACAAAGACAATAATGACGCACAGTGCATACATAATACAGTGCGATTGAAAAAGATCTTCCACCCAGTTTGGTTCTGAATAAATTCACAAGAATCTGATTTCAGTCGAAGGAGTATTGTCGCTTTGCTTGTACACATACAACTCAGGGCAATAAAAGTTATGTTTTAAGCATTTATTATTAAAGAAAAAGGTGCTTTGTGAAACGAAAACATTCTCAAATTTTGAATTACGAATTCGATTTTTTTAACATCTACTTTTTTCCGAAATTCATTAATTGTCGTAACACTGTAACTAAATTTAATTAGGTGTATCTCAAGTTTTCGAGTATTATGTATATTAAATATGCAAAACTATTTCGAACCTTATAACTACAAATTTAAGCAACTTAAACATGTTAGCTATGAATTCTAAAGATGCATTTTCTATGTTGAAAATTATTTTTATTTTATTGTTGTCGCAGAATTTTCTCAATGTTTATTCATTTAAGCCTGAACCACGTGGTGGTCACATGGCAACATTGTCTAATGATAAGCTTTATTTTATTGGAGGTTCACGACCTATACCTACGACTTCATCTGCATGGAATATAACTCACCAATTCGGTCTATCGGACGAAGTGTTCTATTTAGAACTTTCGTCATCATTTACTGTTGATTTACCTCCGTTTACGGATCTTTCTGCAACTTCACGAGTTCCATTTGGCTGCGAAAAAGGAACAATGGTATTAGGTGTTTATGGCATACGTATGTATCTTGTTGGCGGAGTGCAGCAAGATATGACAACATTTGGTTATAATACAACAAATTCTAGCCTTTGGATTTATATTGTGAATTCACAAAAATGGGATATTCCTGGACCAGGAACTGCTGGAATACCACTTCCCAGGCGCAGATCCACTGCAACAACTATTGATAAAAATGGTGTAATTTATATATTTGGTGGAAGGGTAGAAGTGGATACTGGTTCAAATGTGTTTACGATATTTGATGATTTTTTCACATTTGATACTGTGTTATTGAGATGGACTAATATGTCTTCACTTCCTAACCTTCCATATAAACGAAGTCATAGCACTGCAACTTTAATGCCTGATGGAAAAATTATTTACATAGGTGGTGTTACTCAATCTATCCCTGGTGAACCTGCAACTCGTATAAGCATGAATGAGGTGAGTGATTCTGAAATGATAATGTCTACATAAAGTTGATAGTATCATGATCTATTTTGGTCATTAAACTAAGACTTGTACAATGTCCATATTCGTGACTTCTATATTGATTTACATCTAAAATATTTTCTTATTGCAATAAAAACATCTGTTATCTTTTATTTAGATAAATATTTTCGATACTATTGCATCAGTTTGGTCACAAAAGGTATTTATGATTTCTTCACATAAATTCTTAATGCTTTGGAATTTTAAATAAAATAACTATTTATTTAGTCTGCTTTAGGGATTGTTGATCCTCGTGTTGGACACACCTCTGTCCTAGGTAAGTTATTGGGTTTATCTTTAATATATATTTTTCATTTATAATTTTTAAATAATTATAACTAATATTATGTACTGTACATACATTTACTTGACTTTAAAGCACCCGATAATCGCACTATAGTTATTCTAGGAGGATCACAAAGTTACGGACTTAATCAGACTACACCATATCCGGTTTTTGTATTGTTAGATATTAGTTCTGAACCTTTTCAATATTCATATCCTCAACCTTCTGGGGAATCTCCTCCTCCATTGGCATTTCACACAGCAACACTCTACCAAAACTACATGATTGTAGGGTTTGGTAATAATTCATCCTAATTAAATCATATCTATTATATATCACGTAATATAGCACGTGGAAAACCGTTTACGATTTGCTATCTTATCTATATAAGCACTTTATCAAAATAAGATCACAACTGGAGTAAAACTATGATATGGATAATTTGGCCAAAATTATAGGACACTATTACCAAGATTAATTATTTTTTTTTTAGAAAGGTTAGCTTAATATAATAACTTCAAAACGAAGTTATTTTGCGCTGATTCACCTTTTTTAAAACCAGAATTGTTAATTTTTGGCAATGGTATTCTATAACTCTAATAAAACTATCTATATGCAATGCAGAATCAAATATAAATTGTTAGCAAATCATAAACTGGTCTTCCTATGAGTGTGCCTGAAAGTATAAGTGAGCCATTTAACAACATTAACATTCACACTTTACGATTTTATTTTTTGTAAAAATATAAATAGGTAACATAACCAACGATTTGGGACCTTCGACAGAAACATCATCAAACATATATTTAATGAATCTGTCGAATTACACTTGGGTGACGCGATTTGAAAAAAATCCTCCCCCTCCCCCCCCTCTCCTCCTGCCTATTATTTATGGCGTTAGTTTTGGTGTTGGTACGCTTATTATTATTATTATTATTATTATTATAGTATATCGCTACAGACCTCTTAGCGGATCTCCCAGCAGATCTCCTAGCAGATCTCCCCCAATATCTCCCAGCAGACCTCCTAGCACACCTCCCAGCCCTTAATAAATCAATGAATCATAGGAATAATATTCAACAATTATAAAACTTAATCTAAACTGAATCTGTTTTGAAATTTTAATACTTTTAAAAAAAGTTATATCTATCCTTACCATAATATGAAGCTTTGCATTAGCACTAACTTAATTTTAATAAATAAATGCGTTTTAAAAAAAGGATTAAAAACAATTAAAAAATTTCTTAATTATGCGTAGAGATATGCTTGTGCGAGATTGCGAAGCAACATTTCGAGTGAATTAAATAATATAATTAATTAAATCTATAAAACATTTTTGGTGAATAAATAATGCAAAATTTCAGATATTATTATTTGTCCCGTAATTGATATAACCCATCATTAAAATGATGAGTTCAATATCTAGCTTTAATGTATGTTCTAAATGAATTCTTATTACTCGCGCGAAATCGCATAATACAATATTGTGTGAAACATATTATGAGCTTGTTTTATGCAGGACACATCTCTAATAAGTATACTATACAAATTATAATTTTTCTTGAAAAAAGTACTGCAATGGTGCGACTTGTTTCCAATAATGTTGATTAAAGTTTATGGTCACGATATTTATTTAGTATAAGATTACAGAATTAAATTTATTGCTAAGATTGGTGTATTACACATCCTACATTTACTATTTTACAACTACAAAAATTTCAAAAAAAAATTTATACTTTTGATACTTTTTGTATTAGAGATCTTAGTGCTATAATACTATCTGAGTCAATATTTAAGGATCTGACTAAGGTTTCAAAAGACGATCTATACTCTCTAGATGTATACGAAAATTGGTTTCTTGATCCTACTAACAATAATCGATTTATATCTGCAAAGGATTTCTCATAGTCTCTTAACTTGCAATAAACTTGAACTCGACATTTTAGCACATCGCTATTGTAACTAATTTCCAAAGATTTAGTTAAATCTGCAAGAGAGTCTTCATAGTTATTTAGCATAAAATGTGTTTCTCCTCGTAAACTTAATGCTTTTGCATTATTCGGTTCAAATTCAATAGATTTATTCAAATTCTCAAGAGATTCATCATAGCGTTTTAATGTAAAGTATGTTTGTCCTAGGTATCTTAGTGCGAATGGATTTTTTGGTTCTATTTCCAGTGATTTTGTTAAATCTTTAACTGATTCGTTATATTTCGCTAAAGAATAGTGAACAAGCCCTCGGTATGTTAAGGGCTCTGTGCTATTTTGATTAAGTCTTAAAGCGTTATTTAAATCATTAAGCGAATTTTTATAGTCACCAAGAATATAATAAGCTTTTCCTCGTGTTTTTAAAGCATCAAAATTTCCTGATCCAATTTCCAACAACTTTGTTAGACACTTTATCGATTCTTTGTATCTTTCTAACTTATAACAAGATTGTCCCTGAACCAATAGTGCAATTGTATTTTTTGGGTCAATTCTTAATGAATTTATTGAATCATCAAATGATTCTTTATATTTTCCTAAACTAAAATAAGTCTGTCCCCGATATCCTAATATCACCGCATCAATCAGATTAATATTTAGTAATTTAGAAAAATCCTCGAGAGATTCTTTATAACACTTTAATTTATAATATGTTTGCCCACGATATCTTAATGCAATTATATCATCCTGATCAATTTTCAATGAATTGTTTAAATCCTCAAGAGATTCTTGGTAGCGTCCTAACATGTAGAATGTTCTTCCTCGGGTTCTTAACGCAAATGCGTTATCTTTCTCAAATTCTAATGAAAACGTTAAGTCTTCAAGAGATTTATTATAACTTCTTAAATAATAATATACTTGACCTCGAGATCTTAATGCATACGCATCATTTGGATTTATAATTAATGCTTTTGCTAAATCGTCAAGAGAATTTTCGTATTTTCCAAGCATATAAAATGCCAACCCTCGAGTTCTCAATGCATCAAAATCCTCTGGACTAAGATTTAATGAACTTGTTAAACTTTCAATAGATTTTTTATACATTTTTAGTTGATAATAAGCTTGTCCCAAAAAACCCAGAGTAACCGTATTGTTAATTTCAGTTTTTAGTATTTTTGTTAAATGTTTACAAGACTCTTCAAATAGGTTTAATCTAAAACAACAATAACCTAGAAATTTTACTGAATCATTATAACTAGGATCAATCCTCAAAGATTCAGTTAAATCTGAATAAGATTTATCGTAGCCTTTTAACACATAATATATCTGTCCTCGAAAGCTTAATGCAACTGCATTACGTGAATTAAATTCTAAAGATTTATTTAAGTCCGTAAGAGAATCTTTATAGTTATTTAGCATAAAATACGCTTGTCCTCTTAAACTTAATGCTTTTGCATTATTTGGTTCAAATTCTATTACTTTATTTAAATCATCAAGACATTTATCATAGCATTTCGATATATAGTGTGTTTGTCCTCGGTAGCTTAGTGCAAGTGAGTTATTTGGCTCTATGTCTAATGATTTTGTTAAATCTTCAAGCGTTTCTCCATGCATCCCTAAATAAAAGTGAACAAGTCCTTGGCAACGTAAGGACTCTGCGCTATTAGGGTCAATTTTTAACGCATCATTTAAATCATCAAGCGAATTGTCATAATCGCCAAGCTTATAATATGCTTTTCCTCGAGTTTTTAGTGCATTGAAGTTCTTTGGTTCAATCTCCAGTAGTTTTGTTAAATTCTCTATTGATTCATGGTATTTTTTTAATTTATAGCAAGATTGTCCACGAACTAATAGTGCAAGTGTATGTTTTGGATAAATTTTTAATAAATCTATTGAATCCTTATAGGACTCTTCATAATATTCCAACTCAAAATAAGTTTGTCCTCGATATCCTAACGCTTCCACATCAATCGGACTAATATTTAGTAATTTAGAAAAATCCTCAAGAGATTCTTTATAGCACTTTAATTTATAATATATTTGTCCTCGACATTTTAATGCAATTATATCATCCTGATCAATTTTCAATGAATTTTTTAAATCTTCAAGAGATTCTTGGTAGCGTTCTAACATGTAATATGTTTGCCCTCGAGCTCTTAGTGCATATGCATTATTTTTCTCAAATTCTAATGATAACGTTAAGTCTTCAAGGGATTTGTTATAATTTCCTAGATAATAATATACTTTCCCTCGAAGCCTCAATGCATATGCATTACAATGATTCATATTTAATGCTTTCGTTAAATCTTCAAGAGAATTTTCATAATTTTCAAGCATATAAAATGATAACCCTCGAGTTCTTAATGTGTCGAAATCGTCTGGACTCAAATCTAATGAAGTTGTTAAGCTTTTAATAGATTCTTTATACATTTTTAGTTTATAATAAACTTGCCCTAGGAATTTTAAAGTAATTGCATTGTCAGGCTCGATTTTTAACTCGATTTTTAATAAGTTCTTAAAATTTTTAAGGGACTCTTCATATTTATTTAATCTAAAACAGGAACAACCGAGAAATCTCAACGTATCTGCGTTATTAGGTTCAAGTTTCAATGATTTATTCAAATCTGCATAAGAATTATGATAATTTTCCAATATAAAATTTATTTGTCCTCGAAGTCTTAATGCACCTGCATTGTTTGAATTAATTTCTAAAGAGTTAGTCAAGTCTGCAAGATATTCTTTAAAATATTTCTGTCCTTGAGAACTTAATACATTTGTACTACTTGATTCAAATTCAATTGTTCTATTTAAATCTGCGAGAGATTCACTATAGCGTTCTAACATATAATATGTTTGTCCTCGGGATCTTAGAGTAAATGAGTTATTTGGGTCTATTTCTAAAGATTTTGTTAAATCTTTAAGAGAAACTTCATATTTTCCTAACTTATAATTAGCTAGTCCTCTATATGTTAGGAACTCTGCATTATTTGGGTCGATATTTAATGCATTATTAAAATCTTCAAGGGAATTATTGAATTCACCAAGTATATAATATGCTTGTCCCCGAGTTTTTAGTGCATTGAGATCTTCCGGTTCAATGTCTAATAGCCTTGTTAAGCTTTTTCGAGATTCATCGTAATCTTCTAATTCGAAATAAGATTGTCCCTGAACTAACAATGCAGTAGTGTTTTTTGGATCAATTTCTAACGAACTTGTTGAATCTTTAAGAGAATCTTCATACTTTTTTAACTCAAAATAAGTCTGTCCCCGATATCCTAATGTTTCTGCATCAGCCGGGTTAATATTCAATGACTTAGAAAAATCATTAAGAGATTCTTCATAAAGGTTTAACATATAATACGTCTGTCCTCGAGTTTTTAATGCAAATGTGTTATTTTCCTCTAAGTTTAATGATAACGTCAAGTCTTCAAGAGACTTGTCATAATTTCCGGAATCATAATATACACGTCCTCGATATCTTAATATATATGCGTTACACCGCTCTAAGTTTAATGCTTTCGTTAAATCTTTAATAGAATCTTCGTATTTTCCAAGCATAAAAGATGACAATCCTCGAGTTTGTAATGCTCCAAAGTTTTCTGGTTCAATATTTAATAATGTTGCCAAAATTTCAAAAGAATCATTATACATTTTAAGCTCATAATATGTTTGTCCCAGATATTTTAGAGTAACTGTATTTTTAGAATCAATTTCTAATAACTTTCTTAAAATATTAAAAGATTCCCTATATTGTTTTAATTTAAAATAAGAATAACCTAGAAATCTTAGTGAATCTGCGTTGTTAGGATCAAGCTTTAACGATTTGGTTAAATCTTCACAAGATTTATCGTAATTTTCAAATAAGTAATGTATTAGTCCTCGAATTCTTAATGCAACTGCGTTATATGAATTAATTTCTAACGATTTAGTTAAATCTGCAAAAGATTCATTATAGTGATTTAACATATAATGCGTTTGTCCTCGAGAACATAGTGTATTTTCATTATCTGGTTCAAATTCTATCGATTTATTTAGATCTTCAAGAGATTTATCATAGCGTTTTAATTTAAAGTACACCTGTCCTCGAGTATCTAAAGCATCAACATTTTCTGGTTCAAAATCTAACAACACTGTCAAGCTCTTTATAGATTCTTCATATTTATCTAATCCAAAATAAGATTGTCCTTGAACTAATAGTGCAGTAGTGTTTCTTGGATTGGTTTTTAGTAAATCAGTCGAATCTTTAAGAGATTTGTTGAATTCTTTTAACTTAAAGTGAGCCTGTCCTCGATATTCTAAAGTGATTACATCATTCGGATCGATTTCTAATGATTTAGTTAAATCTGCAATTGATTCTTCGAAACGATTTAACATGTAATATGTTTGACCTCGAAATCTTAGTGCAATCGCATTATTAGAATTAATCTCTAATGATTTATTCAAATCAGAAAGAGATTCTTCATAACGCCTTAACATATAAAGCGTTTGCCCTCGAGATATTAGTGTATCTGAGTCATTCGGATCTTTTTCTAATGATTTAGTTAAGTCTTCGAGTGATTCTTCATAATGTTGTAGCATAAATAATATTTGTCCACGAGATCTCAGTGCAACAGCATTATTTGGGTCTATCATTAATGATTCATTTAAATCTTCAAATAATTTACTCAAAATGTCGATAGAATTTTCGTTGTTATTCGCTTCATAATAAACTAGTCCTTGATCTCTTGGATCGATGGCATCGTCTTCATTTTGAGAAGGTCCACTGGAAAATGAATTAGGTGTGCCATTACTGGACAAAATTGGAATAGGCCTACGAATACAATTTATAATATTCTCAACTTCTGTCCCTTCTGATATTATATCAAGAATTTTTAAAATTTTGTCTGTTGTTGGACGTTTCTGCGGATTGATATCCCAACAATTGTTATAAAGCTCAGCGAAATTTAGTGGCGTACCAGGGATAGTATCTTCTCGATAACCTTGTAATATTTGAACACATATAGCCATTCTATTTATAGCATTCTGAAATGGTGCAGTTCCACTTGTAAGCTCCCAAAATACTACACCTAAGCTATAAATGTCCGATTTTTTGTTGCGTTTGTTTCCAGGTTGATGGGATAGTGGATCGACGTATGCTGGTGTGCCATGCGATGCTGCAAGTGATGAAACAAAAATATCATTCACGTTCCTTGCTAAACCGAAATCCGCAATCAAAAATTTGCCATTATTTATTAAGATATTTTTAGGATGCTAAATAAATTATCAAAATATTAATTCTAATTTATATCAGTAAATTACAAACTAAATATTAGAAATTTTGTACTTACTAAGTCACAATGGATTATGTCATTCTCGTGCAAATGATTTAATCCGCGAGTAACTTGTTTTGCAATTTTAATTATTTCAATTAGTGAAATTTTAAAAGTATCCTCATGCCATTTACTTTGTAAATATTGCCTCAAGTTTCCTCCATTGGCAAATTGCAATACCAACATTAAATGTTCTGTATTAGGATCTAAAATGAGATAATTTTGGGTAAAAATATTGCTTAGTAAATTTAGAGATATTAGATATAATATATATATAAATAATAATACCTATTGTAATCCCATAGAGTTGGTTAACGTTGGGATGAAATCCAATAGCACGTAGCTGTTTGAGCTATAATAATATAATAATTTATTAGATTAAAACAAACCACAGAAGATGACTAATAATATATTACTTCGTTAACAAATTTTTTAGTCGCTTCTTTAGTAGTTTCTTTGGCCGCTTCTTCAGATTTAAGTTTTTTCAATGCTACATTTTCCTCATCGTAGTCAGCCGAACTAACAAATCCAAATCCTCCTTTATGAATTTCAACGCTTGAAAGTTAAATTTTTTATTTGAACTAGATAAAAAGTGCACCATATAATTAGAAGAGTCATACCTTGTCCAATAAGTTTAATGTTCTTAAACAATGAAAATTTATAGAAGGTTATATTTCCATTTTCTAGTTCATTATCTAACCATTCAGAGCCATCTGAACGAGACATTATCGATCTCTATTCGTTATAACCATTTTGAAAAATAAATTTGCATTATTATGTGCAGGTATTTAATTTAAAATCTATCTGTTTATTCCTGTACGTACGTACGTATGTATTCGTGTACCGTATATTCGGTGTATAATTAATTAAATACTCCGGTTTGTTGCTATGCACGTGTAATACAAATTCAGCCTTTGTTCGATAACGATAATGATATGAAAATTTATTATCTATTGTATTATTGTTTTGATACAATTCATTGAACAGTATATTAGCATGTTCAAAAAAAAAACTAGATATTAATATTGGTCAGGCGTAATTGCTGAAAATTTTCTGAGTAGATTTAATTAGTTGATCTGCAAGTTGCAGCACATATGAAATAATACTATGATCCATGTTTTATGAAAAAATGCGAATTTTCCTTAGATAAATATTTATACTTACAACTTAATTAGTCTTTTTATGTATAACAAACACTTTTTATTATCTCAAACTCTAATATGGATTACTTTTTTAACCCCTGCACTAAAAACCTTTAAGTGTCTTTTTTTAAAAATTGTGTTTTATCATCAAATTATAAGCTGCACGTGAGCGAAGAAGTCACGGGCAACCTTTTATCATTAGACCCGACCTGTACGTTGAGTGTAACCTGACTAGTTATGTACCATTTATATGATACTCGGATGTTTTTAGCGTACAGTACGTACAGTACGTATAGTACGTATAGTAGAATTTTTTTATACCATGGTTTCGGAATATTACGTAATCGGGTCGGAATATTCAGGAACTTAGAAATGTTATGGCCTAAACTTTCAGACCTTATAAAATGTCTGTCAAAATTTTAGCATACAGTACGTACAGTACAGTACGTGGATATCATTAAACCTGACTCAAATACATGCAATATAAAACTAATCATCATATACTAAAATAATATCTAATAGGGTTTTTATCAAGATGTAGTTGGATTCAGTCTAGAGTTAGCACTTAAAACAAAACCTACCTAAAACTAATTTCAGAAGATTCTAATCTAAAACTCTGAAACCTAAAATTCTAAAATTATAATTTAAAACCTTGAAATTATAATTTAAGTTTTTTTGTTTTTTTATTAGCATAATGTTATAAAATCTTTAGTTCTAAAATTAAAAATTTCTAAACTACATTTATGTTACAATTTGATATCTATTGTGATATTACATCTTTATTTCCTATAAGTGCTATAGTTATTATTTTAAAATAGATTAAAAAAACCTTTAAGTAATTGTTTAAATATTAGTTAAAACCAATAGTTAATAAAAGATTCTGTAAAAGTCATTTGGTAATAAAAGAGTTGATATTAATAAATTGAGAAGAAGTTGTAATATTGTTTGAAGAATTAGGTAAAATTGATAATATAATTTTAGCATGTTTAGATTTTAATACATTTAACATTGTGAGATTATTCCTATTAATGTTAGTATATATTACAAATAAATAGAGATTTTTATGAAACTAGTTTAATAGATTGTTTGAAAGTTGAAGTAAAAAACATTTGTTTGTTTGTTAATAAGTATTTTGATATTATTGTAAATAATAGCAGAAAAATTCTAATAATAGTATATAAAATATATTTGTATTAAAGATTTAGAAAATTAAGTATGAAATTTAAAAGTATTTAATAAAGTTTTAAGACTATATTAGTAATTTAAAATAATAAACAAGAATAGTCACTCTCTTAAATAATTACACAGCTGGACATATAGTAATTTTTTTAAAAAATGTGCTTATAAAGGAGTTGTGCTTATATGGAGGGCTATTTTTTATAAATTAAATCATAGCTTAGTCTAAATTTAAATATAATTATATATGATGTAATTATATGAAAGGTGACTATATAGAAAGATAACTATATTATATATTATGTTATTAAATAATTGTAAAACATTTGTAGAATTACTAAAATATAAAAATAAATAAAGAGTATTTTCAATATTTTTATAACAAAAGCATTTAAGTATAATTTTTTTTTTAATATTAAGATTATATTTTTATTAGTAATTTTAGTTGTACATATTAATATATTATATATTAAAGATATACTAAGATTGTAAATATAAAATAAAAACTATATGCAAGAATTAAAACTCAGACAACTTTGTTAACAATCTAAACTAACTAAGATGATCAAGACCCACCTAGATTTGTAGTACTAGAATATAATTGTAAGATTTGTTATGATTGATTTAAAGTGTTAACTATATATTAATTTTTTTAATAGTCTATCCAATTGATAGGCAGATATTAAAATGTAAGTGTAGTTATTTGCTATTCCATATAAACATATGTATAATTTGTATCTGATTTTTGTGATATCTAGTTTGTTGTATCTGTTGTAAAATATTGTAGATGTTATAAGTTTAAAAAGATATAATATTATTATTCTTTTTTTAATTAAATAGATCAATACAATATAGTTTTCATATTTAGTTGTATATTTGATTATTAATATTAAAAAGTGCTTGAATAATAATTTGTAAAGCTATCTTAGTTGAAATATTGTAATTATGAATTGTTTCAATTAAGACTTTAGATATAAGACCTTTAAGAGTAAGATTAAGATAAAAAGGGTTTGTTTGAAATAGTATTCTGTCAAATGAAGGATGTTTTTAAATTTTATAAATAAGTTTATGAAGCTAATTAGTAGATAAGTTAAGATCTGCTTTAGATAAAATATACTAAATTGATGAATTAATAATTGTAATAAGAAAAAAGTTAAAACAAGTTTGCCAGTATAAGTGAAAGTTAAGAAGATTATATTAAAAGCAGTTAGCATTTGTAAAAATAATTAAATATATATTGTAAAAAAAGAAATATATTAGTAGTTCATTTAGTAGAACTTTGATTTTAAAAGCCTTAGATTGATTAAGTTTGAAGCAGTAAAATTAGATAAAGGTTTTTGATTATAATTAAAATATAACCATATCAATTGCCAGTCTATATAGTAAGTAATATAAGACTATTTATTGTTTCTTTTTTGTAAAGACTACATTGTTAGTATGTAAGCTTTGCAAATATTTTTAATAAAGTGTTAGATAGAAAGCTTAACAGGATTTTGTTCTCATTGTAGAATATAAAAAGAATTATAAATATTTGTATATTGAAAGTTTAATGACAAAGAAAAGATATTTTGTTTTGCTAAAGAATCAGTTATATTATTAAAGATGTTATTGTATAAGTCTAAACTTTGTAAAAGTTAATATTTAAGTTGAATAATTTAATAATATTAAGAAGTATATACTATAATAGCCATGTATTAAATTTAAAAAGTTGTTAGAATTATTAAGTTGGATATAAAGTTTGTAAAACTTAGAATTAACTAATTGTAAGTTAGTATAAATTTGAAGTATAGTATTACAAAATATGATTAAAATTATAGATAAAATAGAAAAGAGCTTTGCCTATAAGCTGATGTTCAAAAATAGATTTTAGCTAAAAATTTATAAAGAATTTGTTTGTTACTATTAACTTGAACCCATCTAATACCTATTGAACTTTGTTTAGTTTCAATATTAAATACTAATTCATCAGTATAAAAAGTAAATTTCTTATATAGTAAATTGTTTTAAAAAATTTCTTCAAGTTTGTTTAAACAGTTATTAGGTTTAAAAATTTTTATAATAGTAGAGTTTAATATTTTTTATTTATTTATTTATTTATATAATATCAAGTAGAAAAAATGAAAATACATAAGTATATCAATTAAATATAAATATATAGCTAAGTATTATTCCTAACTATACTATTGTTATTATATATATTAATGACATCTAGTGTGATATTATTCTTTTATTTTCTATTATTAGTTAAATTAATTTTCATTAATTATTAACTACAGAAAGAAGTAAAAGAAAAACCTTTAAGAATAGTTTAGTTAATAAATACATGTATATATTGTGAAATTTTGAGACAAGGTTTTAGAAATAAGGTGATCTATATTAGTATTAAATATAAAAGTAGTATTATTAAGATTTGAAGGTTATAAGATAGGTAAGTGAAAATTGGTTTTCTTTTTAGTAAAAGCAAAGATTTCTTGTACTAATTCCTATTTATATTGTTTTATATTTTGAGTTTGCCAAATAGAAGTGTTAAACTATTTGAGTAGAGAATTAAATAGAGAGATAAGAAAATTTGTAATTGTTTTTTTTAGAATTAGTTGCAATTGTATAAGTTAGTTAAGAGTTATTGTTTTCTATATAAGTTAAAGAATTGTATTGTATATGCTAAAGTTAGAATAAAAATTTTGTAAGTAAAAGATTTGTAATATTGTATTTGGAGAAGTTTTTAGAAGGTTTAATAAATTTAAAGCATTGGTAATCTTATTGATAAGAATGACTTTGGGGTTGTAGAAGTGAAGTGAGTATTGAAGTAAGTGTTTAGTATTTTCATATTAATTGCAGTATAAACAGTTTAAAGTTAAATAAAGAAGGAAATAATAGATATTTAAATTGGATATTATTGGTAGATTGTTAAGAAGTATTTTGTTTCAAAAAGAATATAGTTTGAGATTAAAATTTTGAGAATTAATAATTTCAGTTAATAGTAGAATATTTATAGTAAAAAGATTTCATAATAATTTTAGCTAAAGAAGAGTAAATTTTTGCAAAATTTATATAGTTTATATATAATTAGTATTTGATTCTAAATAAAAAAAGTAGGTAAATAGAAGTGCTCAAGATTAAGTTTAAGTTTGGTTTTGTTAGCATCCTGTTTGGCAAAAGTGTCAACTATATTATATAACATATTATTTGAATATAATTTGACTTTATATATAATGTAATTTATATTTTTGTATTTTATTAGAAAATTTAAAATATGTTTAATTTTTCAATTATTTTGTTTAGTTTGTGAGTTATAGTTATAGGATATAGAATTAGTAAAAGTTTGAATAATTGATAAGCTGTTTAAATAAATGTGAATTTGATAATTAGCAAGTAGAATAAGAAATAAGAAAATAAGTGCTGCTAGTT